CAAGAACTAAAGATCCCAAATTATACCCATAATAGTTTAATTGGTTTGGTTGTTTCCTTTACTGAAATTCACGTAGTTATAGTCGAGAAAACATCCCTTATGCTCAACATAATACATAAGGGGTACAAATATTTAAAGGTTAGCTAGATACTAATAGAAATACATTAGTTTTAGGTTTTTGAAAAATATTTGTAGTTTTGCTTGTATTCCCCCTTGAAAACATTGAAAAACACGTAAAAAGGGTAGGGGTATGAACTCACCAATCGCGGAATGTGTCGGTTTGGATGCTAAACGTTAGTTCAAGGCTTGAAAGCGCGCATGGTTCCTATGTAATGTGAAATGATACACATTTGTATTTAATTAGAATTTAAATGACTAATTAGATATGATTATACACTTCAAGATGCGAAAACACTTCAAATCAAGTGTTTGGAGAGACCCGGGTGACATCTAAGGACGTATATGGCTTGGATAATGTGTTTACTCTTCAAGAGTAAACTCCTTATGGAGTTTTCGGCCCTAAGACCATGTCTACATGAGTTTCCGGCCGTGATCTCATGGATGATGGGTTTTAAGGTGCTAAATGGTCTTATTTCACTTGGGAAAATTGGCTAGGATAAAATCTAGGGCATAGGAATGGATTAAACTCACTTAGGGACCATTTATTGGAGTTTACGGCAGTAAACTAGGTTTTTACGGCCGTAAGCTCCCCCATACCCATTCCTTATGTGTTTTGGTGGTGCTAGGACAATCACATGTGATTTAAACTCATTTTACAAGCCTTGGATGGAATTTTGGGCATTATTTGACTTGTGTTTATGAGTTTACGGCCCAGGAACCCATTCTTGGGGGGGGGGGGTTTATGGCCGTGAACTCTCCAAGAGATGGTTTTCAACAAGTTTAAGGCCCCTAAATCGATTGTGGTTGATTCTAGAATATAATGCAAGGCTATTGGTGTGTTTAAGTGGCTTTTAAACACTCAAATATGAGTTTACTCTCCATGAAGGTGAGTTTACGGCCCAAGAATGTTCTTGGGCCGTAAACTCATGTTTACTCCCCAAAAATTGAATTCAAAGTGTTCTAAGTCCAGTACATTAAGTCATATAGCCATATCTAAGCTCCAAAGGTCGATTGGAAGGGTTTAAAGGCTCAAAAATCCGTCATATGTGTGTTTACGTCCCAAGCATGTTCTAGGGCCATAAACACATGAAAATGATCCTAAATGATTGTTTGAACTCGGATATGAAGGTCTAAGATGCTATACTAAGAGTTAGGGAAGTTACCTTGGTGATTTGGAGCTTAAATTTGATGTTTTTGGACCTTAGATTTGGTTTGAGGAGAGAGGTTAGAGAGAGAGTAGTGAGAGAGAGAGAGTTAAAGCATCAAATGGAAGCTTAAACCACTTTAAATATGTTCCAAGCTTGGGACACCGTGGAATTCTACCCGATACTGAAGTTATACGATGCTTTTGGTCGCACCCGATTAAGTTGTCGTAACCCGATATGGTCGAAACTAAAAATTTTCTAAGTAATATTTTGGGATGATTTCATGAGTTTCTACCGTGTTTGGATACCAATTAAGTCATAATAGAAGTCTAAAAAATAATGACTTAATTTAAAACTTAAACGGAAACAATTCGAAAAAGACGAATTTTATGGACGGAAACGGGTTACGGCGATGGAGCAAACTTCGGGTTGTGACATTATCCCCCTGTTAGATTGAATTTCGTCCCGAAATTCAAACTTTAAATACGACTCAAGGATTTCGAAAGAGATACGGATACTTCAGTTTCATTGGATTTTCGCGCTCTCAAGTGAATTCGGGTCCTAGAGTGGTGTTCCAGCGAACCTTCGCTATTGGGGATACTTGCTAAGTTCTGAAAGTAGTCGGAGTTTGTAAATCACGGGGTCAATCCTAACGAGGATCTCGAAAGGTCCAATGTATCTCGGGTTGAGTTTTCTGCTGTTTCCAAGGTGTACCAAGTCTCTCCAAAGTAATACCTCCAACAAGAAGGTACATCTTTCTGTGTCGGAATGATTAGGGTTTTGGCGATTTAGGAAAAATTCTTGGATGAACCTGCAATAGTGGTCAGCGAGACCCATGAATTGACGGGTTTCTATGGGTATATTCGGTGCCGACTAATTCTCTATTGATTTGATCATAGGAGGATTCCACACGTAGGTCTTCATTGTCTACTACTTGACCAATGAAAATGGTTTGTCTGATGGGCATCACTACGAACTTATGGTGGCCATATTGAGTTTCTGCATACTGTCTAGGAAACATCATTCTCATGGACTCGAAGTTGATGGTACTTTGACCTAAAGTTTATCCTTGAGAAGTGGTTGGTTCCCTGAAGTGGATCGAAAAGGTAATCTATTTGAGGAAAGGGGACACCGGTTTTGATGGTCCAACTCATCAAGCTGACTAGATAACTCCTGCATTACTGCTGGCGCTAATTGACCTGGGGGTTAGGCTACGAGGGTAGTTCCAGGAATTAGGTCGATACGAAACTCGACTCGACATTCAGGAGGAATTCCAAGAAGCTCTTCGGGAAAAGATAGCATGAAAGTTGTAGACTTCGGGGATGCAACTTCCTGTTTCTCAATGGTCACATAGGCTAGGAATTTATGGCACACCCTTTTGGGAAACCTTTTGAGCTTTGATGCGGAAAATGATATGAAGATTTGAGCTAAACTTGTCGCCATAGATCGTGAGAGTCTGACCAGATGGAAGGTTGAGACGTATGGCTTTTTCGTAATAAAGGATATCCGCAAGATTGGAACTCAAGCAATCAATGTCAATGATAATATCAAAGCTCTCTATGGAAACTAACATTAGGTCGATGGGAAAGAAATGATCGTTCGAGGTAAGGATACAGCCTATGAATTTGTCGCTAACGTCCTCTTTCTCGTTTGATAAACATCTCTATGGTAGACATTTCGGTTACTAATGGAGGACTAAGGTTAAGGTGATGTTTGATTGAATGGATAACAGATTCTCTTGAAACAATAAAATCGAAAAAGTTTGTAAGTATAAGGCTGTTGGGATAGAATATACCTGTGGCAACGGTGGGATTAGCGGCTGCCTCACCTTTCCCTATAGCTAGGACTCTTACTGCGCTGCCAGTTGCTGCTGCTTTGGGGCAATTTCTCTTGAAATGACCTACTTCGCCGCAACCGTAGCAGGCCCGACTGATACCTGCTCCGGATGATTGGTTGGTTGATTGGGCTGGTTTTCTGCAGCTTCAAGCAAGGTGGCCCTTCTTGCCACAGTTGCTGCAGAGTCTTTCACGACATGGTCCAGGAGTACGATGGTGGTAGCTGCATTTGTCGCACCAAGGAAGGGTACCATTATATCCACTTGTAGGAGTCTGAGCTGTAGATCCGATGGCAGAGTCAGCAGCAAGAACAGTAGCAGCGTGGACTGCTATTGTTTGCTGTTTCTTAGAAGATCCCTGAGAAAGCTGACTCTTCTTCTTATTCCAAAATTTTCTTTTCTCGCCACTCCTTTCTGATGGTTCAGGATTGTTAGCTTCTTCCTCAAGGTCATCACTATGATCGATTATGATTTGTGGTAAGCTTTTGGCGTTGTCGTAAGTATCCGGCCTTGCAGCTAAGACGTTTCCTTTTGTTGGCTGGGTGAATCCCCAGATGAATCTCTCTATATTCTTACTCTCCGGGGTAACCATTCCCAGGCAGAGTAGCGCCAAGTCGTCAAACCTTGAAGTATAGGCGGCGATATCGGAACCTTTCATCTTCAGGTTCCAGAGTTCATGCTTCAATTTCTGTATTTCACCCCGAGGGCAGTACTCAGCAAGGAGAAGATCCTTCATGGCCTCCCAACCCATAGCATTAGCCACAGGTAAAGTTAAGTATTTGACTCGGCCGTTCCACTAAGTTAAGGCTTTATCGGTGAAGGTACAAGCGGCGAACTTCACTTTATCCGATTCAGAGCAAGCGCAAATTTCGAAAATAGATTCGATTTTCTCGAACCATCGAGTTAGGGAAATGACACCTCCAGTGCCATCGAAGGATGTGGGTTTCGCGTTCATAAAATCTTTATAGGAACACTCCTTTCGGTGTCCCTGGCTATCTTCCTGGTTTTGAGGCTAGGGACCACCTCCTGAACTACCGGGGTTTATTTGCGGCAGGGTTGTTGTCATTGCGGCGGTAATAACTGCCTGAAGCAATACAAGATCAAATTGAGGAGGAGGTGGTGGCAGAGGAGAGTTGTTGTTGTTCTTTGAGTTGGGTCTCTTCCTTGGAGGCATGTTAATCTAAAAATATAAGGGAAAGAGAGGATCATAAGTCCTCTAGATTGAATCATAAGATATAGAACAGGGAATATCTTAGTAAATCAGATATAGGATTCTATTAAGCGATAAAGCATGAAAGAGTTATCAAAGTAGATAAATTATCGCTAAAGGAATGATCAAGGAACAACGCATGAATGAGGATTTCTACAAAGAATTGGTCTGAGAAATACTCCCATAGTATTTCTTGTCTCGCTGCAACGACGACTCATTGTTTGGGTATTGGGTAAGTTTTAGGCATGCTGAACACCACAGTCACTCCCAAGCACATGTTGGCCATGTCTCGAATGAATTTAGTTCGCCAGGCTATATTGATCCTAGACCCGAGTACATAACTGCCCAAGTTTAACCGCATCGCACAACACCCATTTACTTATGTTTTGTTCTACTTGTAGTTACGGATCTCGGTGGTTAGGTATACTTGTATGCCTTTGAACACTACTAGAAAACAGGCCTTTAATGACGCGCAAACAATGACACTCGCTGATAGAGGACGCGCATTGGTGTATGCCCTAAAAAATAATGTCAGTTTTGCAAAATTGGAACAATAGAGGATACACATTTGTGTGTGCCCCAAAATTAATGTCCAACGAAAAAAATTAAAAACACGGAAGGCACATAAATTTAAGTGGGCGTCGTGTAGAGATGTCGCTTTATAAAATGTTATTAAACGCGTCCCTCTTTAATGCAACTAAGGGGGGAAACCAAATCCCCAAAAAATTCAAGTACCCAGCTTCCCTAAAAAATCGAACCTCACAATCTCTTTCATGGAGTCGGCGATTGGGAGTCTATGAATCCTCAAACTCAAAATGCCGGCGATTTTAAGGCTTTTCTTGTCCCCGATATCAAAGAAGAACTAGGGTTTTTACTTTTTATGATCTGGACCTCACAAGTTCGCACCCATGAACTAAGGCTTTTATTAGCCAATTGCATTCATTTTCACTGTTGTTGGTTCATCAGCCAATCGCCAACCGCTGCTTGCAGGACTTGGCCGTTGTCAGTTTTCCGATTCCTCCGACGATTATGCCAAGAGAAACTACGCCAACAATGTGTCTGAATACAATACCATCGTTGGATCTCTCACTTCTCAAAGAAGGTATGTCTCTCACTGCTCTTTTTCCATTTCTTACTTAATCAACAACAACACACCCTTTTTCACTCCTCTCTTTCTCTCTCTACAAACAACCAAGAAGCAGCAGCAGCAGCACAAGAAAGATGGGTGAAGAAAAAGGCTAGAGTTTTCTACTCGATTCGACTGTTAACATTGATTTTCTCATCTAAATTTGAACTGTTTATATTGATTTCATCTATAAGCTAGGGTTTTCTGCTCGATTCCTCTATTCACATTGATTTTCTCATGTTTGGCACATGATTGAAGGTTGAAGGAGCCATGGAACACTGGTACATCTACTATTCTTGTTATAATGGCACAGACCAGGTATATTCAATTTCTCAACTAGAATATGTGTGTTGGTGTGTGTGTGTATTGAAGTTAGTTACATGAATTTTGTTCATTTTCTGATGTTGCTCCTAATTTTTGAAGGCTTCTGGAGCTTATATCTTCCGTCTTAATGCCACATTTCCAATAAAATCTCAAGGCTAGGTCAATCATACTCTTTTGGGGATGTTATCCACTTTTGTTGTCTGTTGCAAGTGACTAATGCTTTCTTTTGTTACAAAAAACTTTCACTATCATAAGGGGCCCTCTAATGGATGAAGTGCACCAATAGTTAATCTCCTGGATATATCAGGTCACCCGTGTATACAAGGAGAAGGAACATCCCTTACTGTGACATTTATCTCTCTATTTATTATAATCCTAGCTGATCCATGTGAATTTCCTGTTTTAACCTTTATTGGGCCTTCTACACAGGAGACTTGAAAGTGGGTTTTGCTTCTAGCCTTGCCACCAGCTACTTGGTTCGACCATCTTCTAGACTTCGCTTCCGTTCTAGGTTTCGTTTCTCTCTTTCTTTTGAATACCAAATGATTCATCTTTATTATCTTTTATTTTTACATGATTTGAAAGAACGAAGATTGTATATTCCAACTCATTTGATTCTTGCTTCTTTTCAACAAAAATTAGAGTTTCAATTTGGAATCCAGTTCATAAGGCCTGCTTAGATATTGGTCGTATTTCATATTAAACTTCCAATTTTTCAACCCTTTTCACTTTAATCCATCTTCTAGCATTCTCTTCATGTGAATATATTTTGAAGCCTAATGTTTATTCTCTTTTCTTCATCATGTCTGGAATCGATCCAGGTAAAGGGCTAGAACCCTAATTTCATTTCTAACTCTGTATTTTGAAAGTTTTTTTAATCAGATGTTGCACCTGTTAGTAAGTCCCTTCTCTTCCAAATATGAATTTAGTTTGTGTCTTTGTTATGTGATTTTGGTAAAACTTTCTCATTTTATGTAGCTACTTATCTTATTTAACTATAGCCTTATTTCTAAATAATATTTGTTTGTTTTTTGGAAGCAGTTATCATGTTAGCTAATTGGAGATAAGGATTAGTCTTAAGAGAGGACAAGACAAGAGAAAACCTTGAATTTAAGGTTCAAGGGAGGAGCCCTAGGAAACGAGAGAAAAGAAGTCTGATGTGTCGTTTGGAGGGAAGGCGGTGTAACCTACATCAATCGATGATTCTACCCGTTTTCTAACCGGTGCTTGAAACAAAGCAGGAGTTGGCATTCCATGGTAACGACACTTTCTTTTCTGTTCTTATCAGCTATGATTACCGCCTCACTGCCCTCCAATACTATTTCTCTCTCGCTTTTCTTTAATTCCTCTTGCTTTCTTCTTTGTTCTTCCTTCATCTTGTGCTCCACTATTCTTACTAAAGAAGCAAGTTTTGCAAGTTTTTCGGTGATATTAATTCTCAGCAAAATGCACCGTTTTTTCTCTCATCTAATTGCACATAATTACTAGGTTTTCAGGGAACCATTTATGGACAAAATTGTACAGAAGAAAAAACAGCGTTTATTTCACAAGCGCATTGAATTTTTCTACAATCGTCAACCTGATGTTAGAATCTACCGACAAAGAGAATTTGAAAGAAGTCGATTCTGGTTTCAACCGGAGATTGCAGCAGCAGATGAGAAGTTTGCTGGAATGATTATTATTATTTTGTATCAAAAAGGTTGTTTATATTGTAGCCATGTTTCAGATTTTGGCTGTTTTTGCTGGACCAAGTGTGAGGTACTTGTGTCTGTAGTATTTATTTATTTATTTATGATTTTTGTTATCGTATCAAGTTTTTGATGTTTTTCAGTTGAGAAGTATTGTGTCCAAACAAGTAGGTCCCACTGAGCAGGTAATCTTAAGCGTTTATATATTTTATTTAATTAAAAGTTTTTTTAATTACGTCTTACTTCTAGATAGAAGGGTAAAATGGTCATTTAATTTTGTTAAGTATGGTTTTACTTTGTTTTCATGGAAAGGCACAAGGGTGCATTACATGCCTATGTTCTTTTGCCAGTATTGTTTCACCACTAATTTTCAACCCTCTAACAGGTGATTACTTTTTTAACAATAGTAGTATACATTTTTTTTAATAATTATAACCAAAACTAATGAATTTTATGGTTTTATACAGCTTTATTCTTATTTGACAATGCTCCATTTGAGTTTCCTAGTTTTATTCTTGTTTGTGCTTCATTTGCTGTGGTAAGAAATATTTTTTTTCTTAATTGATTTTTGACATTTTATTGACCATAATCGGATATAAAAAAATAAGAAGATCTTAGTTTTATGTTGGGTGTTACATAAAAATCACATTCTTTATTCTTTTGTGCATAAGAAAAAAAAACCTCTAACTACTTTCTATTGAAGGCTAAATGACCATTTTACCCTTTTGTTTGACATTTTATTGACCATAATCGGGTATAAAGAAGAAAAAAGATTTCAGTTTTATGTTGGTTGTTACATCAAAACACATTCTTTATTCCTTGTACATCAAAAGACCTCAATAACTACCATATATTAAATGACCATTTTACCCTTTTGTCTAGATGCTTGCGTTCATCCAGAGTGTCATGATCAGGGCCCCACCCCCACCTATTCCAGATTCAAAACTTGACGACTCTTCCTCAGTGGAGGCTTAAACGATTCTAATCATGGTATTTTAATTGTTCGCTTGGTATGGTGTATTTACTGTTATACCCATTCCGTTCCTTACATTACTCAATCTTTGTTCACAGGAAAGTTAGAAAAAGGTGTTGTTTTGAAGGCCGGTTGCTCTAGCAAGCGGGCCAGGGCATTGTAAGATCAATAATGGAGGATGTTGGCATATGGTTATAAAAGAAATAGCTATGTAGCATGATTTTGATGGCATAGACAGCTTGAAAATTATCTCAAAGTTTTGATGGTGTCATTTAAACAGAAGGTAACTATTATTTTCGTAAGTAGCATTAAGCATGCTAATTATCATCTTTTCCATATTTCTTTTGATTTGTTTGTCTTATTTGTGATTCTCTCAAGGCACGAAGCATAAGTTTTCTTCATCATTGCAACCCACCGATTATTCACCGTGATTAGAAGTCTTCAAATCTTCTTGTGGATAAGAATTAGACATGTTCAAGATGGGTAAGAAGAAGAAGAAGACCGAGAAAAGAGTTGCATAGATTGCATTACTTGTTGAAAATGTGATGGTTGAACTTGAAGATGTAGCAGAAGAAGATGCAGAGCTAAACAGACAATCAAAACCAGCTATTAATAAACTCAAAAAGTTGCCACTTCTAACTGAAGTACTATCTAAGTAAAATTTGTTATTGGAAAAAGTCAAATATCTGTTACATAGTATTGTTTATATTATTTACCTTTTTTAAATTCTTAATGCAGGAAACAACTTCAATTAGAGTTTCTAGATCATGGAGTTCTAGAAGATCCTAACTGAGGTAGGTATAGAATCAACCAGGATTAATTATATGCCTTTTTTATGTTGTTATAACTAATTATTAGTTGTTCTTATCATCCAGTTCCCAATTCATTTAGATCAATATGATAGAAAAGAGCAATTAAAGAAAAGTGGGCTTGCAAAGGCTATTATGTTCTTGTCAAAATCTGATGAAGAGACCACATCCAATAGAAAGCTTGCTAAAGCTTTGGTTGACAAAGGGGTAAGTATATATGGATGCTGAATAAAATAAAAATTCCCTCTTATCTTGATTATCATTAAAATTATAAATGTAATAACGTGCAATAGTTTATTTGGCTGTGGAATGTACAGAAAGTTTCAAGTTTCATGGGGCATTCCCTGTTCTATTGGAGATGGGTGTACTTCCCGCTTGCAGCTTGGAGAGCATGTCCTCTCTTGACATGGTAAGTTTGATTTGTCTTATCACTACCAGCTAATGGGAATAACTACCCCCGGCCTTCATCCTGACATCAGGAGGGGTTGTGTGCACTTGGGGATGGACATATTTTGAACTTTTTACTCAACACAAGCACATGGGAATTAACAGATAGGAAAAAGGTGTCACTTAGAAAAGAATTAAGAATGTTGTCACATGCTGCAAGAGATGTTGGACCCATTAGAGAAGCTAAGAACAAATTGGAGAAGTGAGTTGAAGAGCTAACATGGAGATTAGACTTTGAAAAGCATTTGAGGGTATATTTTTTTTATTTCTTGTATCTAATTAGTTAGTAAATTTTTGTTACAACTTCTATTGATTTGTTTTATCTTTCCATGGAACGATTATTTGAATTACATTAAATTTTATGCAATGAATTGCATTTTTTGTATATGCTATTTTATTTTCTATTATGAGACATTAAATACAAATTTAATTTGAAAATTAGTAAATCTGTAAATAATATTTTATTTAAACATTTACAATTATGATACGCAAAAATGTGTGTCATCTTCATTTATGACATGATCTTTCTTGACAGGGTCTTTCTTGATACGCATTGCGTGTCATTAACACGCGCGTCGTAAGGTTACGACACGAGAATGCATGTCGTCTTCCTTTATGACAGGGCATTCCTTGATACACATTGTGTGTTGTAAACGCGTGTCGTAATTGCGCGTCGTCTATAGAAGACACACAAAAGCGTGTTGTCTCTCTTTATGACAGGGCCTTCCTTGACGCACATTTGCGCGTCGTCTGAGCCTTTTACTACGCGCAATGAGCATCGTAAAGGCTGTTTTTCTAGTAGTGGAAAATACTTATATTTTGAAGTATACTTTTAGTTTAGAGCACTTAGGCCCCTTTAATGTTTATAGTCTTATACCATGTAAGGTCTGGTATACTTAGTTCACTATAAATAAGGGCTCTGATACCAATCTGTCACACCCCGAAAACCGAAGGTGGAAACATATCCGGGGCGGACTCCACGTTGAGTATCAAATCCAATGCACATAGTAAGCAAAGTAAACAACCATTACATTACATATTGAAATTTACATTTGTTCAAAAGTAAAATATTACAAGTGTTATACATAGGTATATATGAACAAAAGTTAAGACAAGATCTTCAGTATGCTCCGTCTTCTCCAAAAGGATCGCTAGGTACCTGTCTAACGCGGACCTGAGAATACAAGCAGTTTGGAAATCAGCATAAAGCTAGTGAGTTCATAAGATGTTTGTTTTCTGAAAATGTTTAAGTTTCCTTTGGTTTTTCCGAAAAAGTTATGAATCCAAGAAAATCCCATAATTTCTTAATAGTAGTGTTTAGTTAACTGTTTTCTTACATGATTCTGGTTATGTATACTTATTATCCTAGGAAAATCCAATATTCTCCTAAAAGTAAAGTTTTAGTTAAAGACCACATTGTTTAGTTTTAAACATAAAGCTATTTACTGAAAATCATGGGATTACTATCCCATAGTAGTTATAAGATAGTTTGATATACACAAAACTATAGATAGATACAGATTGAAAACCATAGGACTATCATCCCGTACTAGATATAGATTCAAAACCATGGGATTATCATCCCGTACTAGATATAGATTGAAAACCATGGGACTATCATCCCGTACTAGATATAGATTCAAAACCATGGGATTATCATCCCGTACTAGATATAAGAACTATAGATAGAAAGTAGATATGAAATTTAATCCGTGAATAAACTTATATTAATACGTATTGTGAGTTGGATAACCATGCTAATACGACACGAGACCTGCTTGACGTTTGTCAGACGTCGGAACGATATCCAGAATTTGTCACCCCAGGCGTGACCGCCTAACTGTAGCTAGCAGATTAGGTGTGGGATTGTCAGTCCCGAATAGATCTATCCACAAATTACATGCTCCCACACCAGGAGATTCTGGTTACACTTCTGGGTAGGATTTACTAATAATAATGATGACGAACCTCACATGCTAGTATTATATTATTCACGGTGTTCTCGGACATTATCAAGCATACTAATCGTTAAGAAACATAATACAATACAAACAGTTTGATACAATGAAATGATATGGCAATATATTCTAAATTAAACAGAGATACACTGAATTAAACATAGTTTATCTATTAACTTTATGTAAATCTATATTCATAAAACAAGAACTAAAGATCCCAAATTATTCCCCTAATAATTTAATTAGTTTGGTTGTTTCCTTTACTGAAATTCACGTAGTTATAGTCGAGAAAACATCCCTTATGCTCAACATAATACATAAGGGGTAAAGATATTTAAAGGTTAGCCAGATATTTATAGAAATACATCAGTTTTAGGTTTTTGAAAAAATTTGTAGTTTTTCTTGTATTCCCCCTGAAAACATTGAAAAACACGGAAAAAGGGTAGGCGTATGAACTCACCAATCACGAAATGTGTCGGTTTGGATGCTAAACGGCAGTTCAAGGCTTGAAAGCGCGCGTGGTTCCTATGTAATGTGAAATGATACACATTTGTATTTAATTAGAATTTAAATCACTAATTAGATATGATTATACACTCTAAGACGCGAAAACACTTCAAATCAAGTGTTTGGAGTGACTCGGGTGACATCTAAGGACGTATAGGGCTTGGATAATGTGTTTACTCTTCAAGAGTAAACTCCTTATGGATTTTTCGGCCCTAAGAAAATGTCTACATGAGTTCACGGCCTTCAAATCATGGATGACGGATTTTAAGGTGCTAAATGGTCTTATTTCACTTGGGAAAATTGGCTAGGATCAAATCTAGGGCATAGGAATGGATTAAACTCACTTAGGGACCATTTAATGGAGTTTACGGTAGTAAACTAGGTTTTTACGGCCATAAGCTCCCCCATACCCATTCCTTATGCGTTTTGGTGGTGCTAGGACAATCACATGTGATTTAAACTCATTTTACAAGCCTTGGATGGAATTTAGGGCATGATTTGACTTGTGTTTATGAGTTTACAGCCCATGAACCCATTCTAGGGGGGTTTACGGCCGTGAACTCTCCACGGGATGGTTTTTAACATGTTTTAGGCCCCTAAATCGATTGTGGTTGATTCTAGAATTTAATCCAAGGCTATTGGTGTGTTTAAGTGGCTTTTAAACACTCAAATATGAGTTTACTATCCATGAAGGTGAGTTTACGGCCCAAGCATTTTCTTGGGAAGTAAAATCATGTTTACTCCCCCAAAAATTGAATTCAAAGTGTTCTAAGTCCAGTACATTAAGTCATATAGCCATATCTAAGCTCCAAAGGTCGATTGGAAGGGTTGAAAGGCTCAAAAATCCATCATATGTGTGTTTACGGCTCAAGCATGTTCCAGGGCTGTAAACACATGAAAATGGTCCTAAATGATTTTTTAAACTCGGATTGGAAGGTCTAAGATGCTATACTAAGAGTTAGGGAAGTTAACTTGGTGATTTGGAGCTTAAATTTGATGCTTTTAGACCTTAGATTTGGTTTGAGGAGAGAGGTTAGAGAGAGAGAGAGAGTAGTGAGAGAGAGAGAGAGTAAAATATTCATATGGATGCTTAAACCACTTTAAATATGTTCCAAGCTTGGGACACGGTGGAATTCTACCCGATATTGACGTTATACGATCCGTTTGGTCTCACCCGATTAAGTTGTCGTAACCCGATATGGTCGAAACTAAAAATTTTCTATGTAATAGTTTGGGATGATTTCATGAGTTTCTAACGTGTTTGGATACCAATTAAGTCATAATAGAAGTCTAAAAAATAATAACTTAATTTAAAACTTAAACGGAAACAATTCGAAAAAGATGTTTATGGACGGAAACGGGTTACGGCGATGGAGCAAACTTCGGGTTGTCACATCACGATCACTGTTAAGAAGCATCTGGCTGAAAAAATTAGGCCTGTGTTCGTAATGCTAAACATGCTTGAGGGGGTCTCGGAATCTGGCACACTTCCGAAACAAGGGGGGAGTCTCTGTGAAGCTACCAGCAAAAGAAACCCCGAAACCAGCCGACACAACTGTAAATCCTAATTCAGAAAACGAACCGAAGGTTAATGTTGCTTCGAGTTCTAGAGGTAAAGAAAATATCATTGATGAATGGATCATCAATGATAGTGAAGAATAAGAAACTGATGAGCGCGAGCTGAAATGAAGGAAGGGCCCGTGAAGCTCGAATAGATGAACATAATCGCATCGTAAGAGAAGAAGAAGAGAAAGAGAAAGTTGAACGAGAAGTTCAAGTCACTTTGGAAAACAGGAAGCTTTTATTTCCATTGTGGACTTTGTATCAAATTATGAACGAGGTTATAGACAATCCAAGCCAATATTGGTTAGAGCCTGTTGTATATTTCGACTTACAGAACACACAAGATTCGCAACTTGATCTTCCAATAACACCGAAAGCCTTCAAGTTCCGTAGCTTCATCAAAGTTGTGAACGTTCATCTGACTGACAATGGTGCTAACCATATGCTCTTCTCCTTCTACTTAAAGCACACGAAGCCTCGGTATGAAACCTAGAATGCGAAAATGACAACAATTACAAAGGTTTCAGTTCCAATTGAAATCGAAAGCTTCCCAAATGCAAGTTTTAAGGTTGTTAGAGGTTATGAGTAAGATATGTAAATTCAAACTTGTTGATCAACCTTGTATGAACCCGTATGATTGGATTTTGCTGCTCAATATGTTGCTCAAGCATGAAAAAAAGTATAAACCCGTTGGTTCTCATCTCAAATGGAAATTATTTTTGTACATTCAAGAGATTGGCAAAATGGATGTTGAGATTGCAACTGTTCTACGAAAGAGGCTGATTGTTTCCCCCAGGAAGTTCCAGAAGATTTTGACAAAATGAAGCTGGGGAAAATATGAAAGGAAGGCTAGTTCATGGCTTTTCGACTCAGAGAGTAATAGATGCTGATTTCTACAAATTTTGTTTCTATCTTTCTGATAAGCATATTTACTCCACATCTTGCCTGCAATACATCTTGGAGTTCATGAATAAATGCAAAGTGAATTGTAAAGGATATAAGAAGTGTTTCTCCGATATGATCCTTTGGTGTATCTAGGTTCGCAAGGCCTAGATGAGCATCATTCCGAAACTTTTTGAAGTTCAGAAGCAAACTCCACAGTAATGGTCTCCTGCCTCAATTGACGCAAAGGGAGAGATTGCTGGGTCATCTATGCTGCATCATTGAGTATTAAAGGT